ATGAATGTGCTCAGAGCTCTAGACACTCGTGTTGTGTCCCTTTGGTTTTTAGTTTTCAGGTTGAGGAGGCTCCATGGACGCTGAGCTGTGCCTTTGGTTATCCTCCTTGTCTTGCCCTGTGGCTTTTAAAAGAATTATTATAATATAAATAGTTTTGTTCTCGTTGTGTTTTAATGAAGGGGCTCTGAGTGGGATTGCATTGACAAGGTGAGGGGGGTTTGGTGGCAAGGAGATTTTTCTCTGTATTTTGAAGTCTTTTTGTTAAGATTTCAAACACTTCCAGGCTCTGACTCTTCAGTAGTATCCGAGGGGTTTGAGGATGACCATTTTACTACCAAAACTTGTAAGGCTGGAGAGGTAGCACAGGTGAGTAGGTGTTTAGTACCAGCAGGTGTGTTTTGTGTCAGTAGAGACAAATTGCTGAGGCTGAAGACATAGAGGAAAGTTGTAGGCAGAAGAGGGAGACTGGTTCACAGTTTCATTCAGCAATTCTGTGTGTTTTAATTGAAATCTCTTATTCAGATGGGAACTAAGTACTTAATGTGCATGTAGGGATATGGTTTCTTGGTGGAATGGGCCGTGTGAGGTTTATGGTTGGACTTAATGGTCGTAAAGGTCTTTTCCAGCCTAATTGATTCTCTGATGGCCCATGTGGATCTGCTGCTGGCTTGGGCTGTATCCTGCTGGGAACCATCAGCACTGTCCAGGGAGGTGTCCAAGGGCAGGGGAATTACTTCACCTCCCTTTCCCAGAACACCTTTTGGTCCCCAGAGATTTAGTGTTCAGAGTTTTGTGAACATGAATTTGTTTCTCGCTGGCTAAAAGGCCTTGCAGATTTTGAGTTCTGATCATGGTAATATAATTTGTTACCCCCTTCTGTTAGGAAAGATGGTAGGTAACTCTTCTCATGGATGATGTACACACCTCTAGAGACTTGTGTGTCTTTGGTTTTTAGTTTTCAAGTTGAGGCTTTGTGGTTTCCTCTATGGAAGCTGAGCTGTGCCCTGGGTTATCCTCCTTGTCTTGCACTGTGGCTTTTTAAAGAATTTCTTAATATAACCCCAAAATCTTGTTTCCAGTTAATAACAGAGAGAATTCAGGAGTTGGACCATGACTGCAGCAGTGCTAGAGTCAGAATTGTGTTGTTTCTGGGGGATTTCAAGTTGAGGCTTTGTGGTTTCCTCTATGGAAGCTGAGCTGTGCCCTGGGTTATCCTCCTTGTCTTGCACTGTGGCTTTTTAAAGAATTTCTTAATATAACCCCAAAATCTTGTTTCCAGTTAATAACAGAGAGAATTCAGGAGTTGGACCATGACTGCAGCAGTGCTAGAGTCAGAATTGTGTTGTTTCTGGGGGACTGCTCAGAGTTGGACCATGACTGCAGCAGTGCTAAAGTCAGAATTGTGTCGTTTCTGGGGGCTTGCACTGCTCAGGAGATTCTCTGAGTTCTGGAAGTGCTTGTGAACAGGACCTGCCAGAGCCTGACTCTTTCCAGGTTGTCTTACAAAGACTCTTGACTTGTCCTTTCTCCCCAAAGAAGGACTGAGCTTAACAACTAACAGACTCCTTCAAATTGTTTGGATAATGGGAGTGATTATGTTTGTAATCAAATTGGGAAGGTATTTAAAACTCACTTAGCTATTAAATTAGAGTTGGTGGTTGATGGCTGTTCCTGCAGGAGGATTATACATCTCCTAGTCCTGGATCTGACTTTACCACAATGTCATTGTCTTTTCTTTCAGTGAACTGGAGCGTCTGAGCAACCTTGTTGGTAAACCCTCAGAGAACCACCCCCTGCACAACAGTGGGCTGCTGAGCCTTGATCCTGTGCAGGACAAAACTCCTCTTTACAGCCAACTTCTGCAAGCCTACAAATGGTCAAACAAGGTAACAGAATACACTGATGTCACTTGGTTGTGTATTCCCATAGAATATTTGATCTGTCATACAGCAAACTTGTGAGTGTTTGAGGCTGTCAGAATCCATGAGTTGAGGAGCATATCAGGTAACTAAATCTGCTTTCAAGGGTAAAATGGTGTTTTAATTGAGAGACTTTGTTTTTCAGAGGGTGTGTAACCTCTCAGGCAGAACAGTACTTACCACTTTAGCATCTTATGTAGGTACTAAAGTGTGTTGTGTCCTTGAATCTGGCAGACGACTCTATAGTAAAGGGCAGTGGGATATTAGAGCAGAGAATCAACTACTTATGTCACCTCTGAACGAGGTGTTTTGGATCTAGGAATCCTTTTAGGATTTCCCTAGAAAAATTTAGGAAAGAATCATGTATGGAAGTTGTCATCATCAGCAATCTTGAAGCCTTTCCATACTATTTGCTGCTGCTAAAACAGTTACACCTGGTCTCCAAAGGAACTTTGTGTTCAACAGCTTTGACATCCCAAGTATTTTGGTGTTGTATATATCACATTGAATTTTAAGTAATGTGAAAAAAGGCAAATAATATTAATGCAGTTTTTTACATTAAAAAAGCACTAGCTGTTTTGTTGAAAGAAACTTCCATAAACATAGTTCAGTTTCATAAACCTCTGTGTTGAATATATTTAGAGACAGGATTTACACAGGTTGGTTTTCCTTCTTTGCTCTGAGCAGTCTACTCATGGGTCAAAAATATTCCTTTCCTCATACTTAATTTTACCAAATAATTAAAATGGCACTATTGCAGTTACTACTGGTCCCTGGTCATTGCTGTGTTTCAGTTTGCCTGTTCCCATCCTGAATTTCTTGCCTATGCTTATTCCCCCTTATAGAAATATTAAAGAAGTATTTAAAGGCTTTTTTAAAACTATGTTTGAAACACTCATGAGCTGCTGCAAAATGTAAAAGATGAAGTAATTTCTGCTATGATAATTATTACTAGCAAGAGTGTCCAGTGTTGTAGCTCTTAATACCCTTGTGCAAGGCAGAAGTAAGCAAGAATAATAAATCTGGAAATATTTAGAGCATTAAAAGAGAGAGTTCACCTTTCAATTATTTATTATGATACATGAGCCAGGAAGACTCTGAGAGTGTAAAAATACTTGGTAGGCAAATTCTGGTTATACATTGAGCTAACCAATCTAATATTATTCAGGTTTAGAATAGAATAGTGCAATAATGTTTGTATTAGCACCACAGTAATGTTTGTACTGTAATGCTTCAGAACACAAACTTCTGTTAACATCTTCTCAAATCAGTAGAATTTGGCATTGATAGAGATTTGGTGTGATTGAAAAATGGGGGACAGGAAAGACTTTTAAGTAGAGATTTATTAAGTGACAAAATCCGTGTTTGCTTGTGTTCCTTGCTCTTAGCAGATTATTGGCACCGAAGGAAAACAATTCATTTGCTACTTTCAGCAAAAATGAAAGTATGAAAACTTCTAAACTTGTCATGCAGTTAAGTCTTCAGGGTTTTAATTACTTCTTCAGGTCATTTTCAGAGTAAACTCAGTTGCTAATGAAATAGCTTTGACAGAGCTGTTCTAATGTAGCTTTTTATTAACTTAGAGGGTTTTGGAGCTTTGAGAAGCAATTTTTTTTGTCAGCCTGGATTGTGATTTTGGAAAGCTGCAAGTTCTGCTATCCTATGCACTCATATACACAGTGTAATGTTGCAGGAGAAAAACAGTGAGTTTTTTCTTTTATATGTGTTCCCTTTAATTTCTGTTTTACAGCTAAAAAGGTGCAGTGTACGTTGCAGGAGATGTGTTGCCTCTCTGAGGGTGTGAGCTGCTGGATTAGCAGCACAAACTCTACTGATGCTCCTGTGTGTTGCTGCTTGATTGTTCATTGCTAAATACACTTCTTGAATAAGTCTTATTTCATCACTTCTTTGGGCCTCCTCCTGTTCCTACCGTGTGTCTGTTGCTTTCAGTTGCCTTGCAGGGTAGATTTGCAGTGGTGATGGTGTGTCAATACACTTCAGGTCTGCCTGCATTTAATTTTTAATTTGTGACCCCTTTGTGGGTTGCTGGCTTGTATTTTTGATGAGCTGAGATAAGGGCATTTTCCTCTGTCTTTGATTGTTCATGCATTACTGATGGCAGGAGTAGCCACATGGCTGCCAGGGGAGGAGAGGTGGAGGAGAGTTCTGGGGCTGTGGTGCAATTCCAAAAGGACAGTCATGAAATACAGGGAAAATGAGCACATAGAGTTTGTGTTGCATATTTCCATGTGTTCTGTATATTTTTCATAGGCCTCTCAGCCAGTTTTGGGGCAATACAGTGACCTTCCCAACATCATAAACCACATAAATCTCTTTAAATAGTGCTACCAAATTGGTTCTTTTTTTTACTGTATGACTGAACCTAAAGCTTAAGTAGTTTTGTAAATCTGGAGGTGGATCATATTTATCTACATGACCCTTATTTTCTTTTGTACAGATAATAGCTTGATTAATTTTGTTTTGTTAAATTTCAGCTGAGACTTTATTAATCATAGTTCCCTGTGGTGCATGAGGTACTGAATGTTAGAAGAGTTGTTGCTTCATAGTTGCAGCTTTGGTTTGGTGTTCTGGGCCCTTTGGTTCAGGAGGGACATTGAGGTGCTGGAGCAGGTCCAGAGAAGAGCAACGAGGCTGGTGAAGGGACTGGAGCACAAGTGCCATGAGGAGAGGCTGAGGGAGCTGGGGGTGTTCAGCCTGGAGAAGAGGAGGCTCAGGGGAGACCTTAGCACCCTCTGCAACTCCCTGACAGGAGGTTGGAGTCAGGTGGGGGTTGGTCTCTTCTCCCAGGCAACCAGCAGCAGGACAAGAGGGCACAGACTCAAGCTCTGCCAGGGGAGGGTTAGGTTGGATATTGGGAAGAGACTTTTTACAGAGAGAGTGATCAGACATTGGAATGTGCTGCCCAGGGAGGTGGTGGATTCACCATCCCTGGAGGTTTTCAAGATGTGGCACTTAGTGCTATGGCCTAGTAACCACAGTAGGGTTGGACTTGATGACCTTGGAGTTCTTTTCCAACCCAATTGATCCTGTGATTCTTTGAAATCCCTGATTTTGTTCTGGCATTGGATGTATGGGCAAGTTTTTGGGTTAAGTGGCAGTGCTGGGTGTGTAGTGAAGATCTTACAGACATAAATGGAAAGTGCTGTGTTTAAGATGTGCATATTGACAGAGGAGATTAGACTAACCTTGCACCTATCAACTTGTTTTATTTGCCACAATTAATACCTGTAGCTGTGCTTGGGTCTGTATTGTGAGAAGGCCCAATTTAGGAGCAGTTTTACTGACCTCTTTGGCTAAGTGCAATGGAGATGAGTTACATTTAATTGTGATTTCACAGGTACTTGCCCTGAACCTTATTTTTCTGCTCCTGCAAGTCACAACACTAGTTCCTCCATTTCTGAGAACTTTAACTCTGATTGTCCCAGGAGTGCAGAAAAATAGAGTGGGAAAAGTGAAAACTTCTCTTACAGAAGTGTGTTATCTTGGCAGTGTTTGTTATTTATTAGCACCTGCTCTCCTGATATTTACTTACTGTAGTTTACCCAATAGTTTTGCAGATGGTAAAGTTGTCTGTATAATGGAAGCAGCTGTTTGGGAACACAACAGCTTGTCAAATGCATTAATTACATACACATACAGCTGTAAAGGAACTTTCCTGTTCCAGGTGCTCACCAAAAACACAGGAACTTTAAGGAACTTTCCTGTTCCAGGTGCTCACCAAGATATAGCTGAAAAACACAGGAACTTTATTTTATTGCAAGCAACAACTAAGGGTTTTATTTTCTCCTTTGCTTTAGCTTTTTATTTCTCAGTAGCAGTGACAGAAGTGAATTACTTTGCTGACTGTGGAGTGCATGGAGACATGTAGTAGCCATGGAACACTATTTAGGTCTGCTTGATAAATTTCTTTTCCCCTTGTCTTCAATTTTATTTAAGAAAAGAAGTTATCTTTATTACAATTGAAGTGCTGTTTCCCAGAAGGATCCATATGTGCCCTCTAATGTAATTCTGAAGGTATAATATTAGATAAGATAAAAATGAGCTCTCATTCTGCAAGGGTAATGCAGAGAGAGTATTATGGGTAGGTTAGGAAGTTTGTAGATAGCAGTAGGGTCTTTTCACATGGATTGTCTCTGTGTAGCAATTTGACTTGAAGTCTGGTTTTAGTAGTTATGTACATCTTGACTGTTGGTTTTATTCTTTCAGTAATACACTGCTGTGTCTGAGCGGGTGAAATCTGAGGTGACAGTAGCAGTCAGGAGGAGGAGAAGCAGTTGAAGCAGTCGGTTCTGTTTCCTGGGTGTGTTGCCTGATACTGCCTGGAACAGTCAGGACTGGGTCTGCAGAGGCTGCTGACTTATCCCTCAGTACCAGGTGCTGCTTCTTGCATTCCCATGGACTTCAAGGGAAACCACCACAGGGGAGAAGTCCCCAGCTCGAAGTTCAGACAAAAGGATTTGTTAAAAGTTGCTTACTAGACTGCTGTACTGATTAAGTTTTGATTTTTTTTTTTTTTTTTTTTTTTAAAAGAAAATAGATGTGACCTCAGGTTTAATGAGGTTGGTCATGGTGTGGTTGCTTGATCCAGCTACAGTAACTCAGGTGCTCAGAGTCGATGCAGGTTTTGGAATCCAGGAGTTTGAACTCATCCTTTGACTGGTATAAACTTTTGTTTTCCATGTGCTGCTTTAGTGAGGTTATTTATTGCCTGTAGTGTGTACTTGTTCATCCTCTTTGCCCATGGCAAAGCCTTCGTGTGCCCTCACCGTGTGTGTGCCCCAGGCAGTGTCTGTTAGGTGTTTCCATGGGCTCAGTGGGACAGAAAATAGAGTATTGCATGTCCACTGAGCAAGGCAAGTGCTTTTATGGGCAGGTTTCCCCTGTCCTCATGGGGTGCTGTCAGGTAGGTCATGTCCAGCGTTTGAGGTTTGATCGCTGTAGAGGTT